TTTTTTTTTGTTTTAGTATTTTGAAGTTGACCAATTGTTACTATAAGCAATTAATGATTATAGATGATCTGCACCGTGTATCTTATTCAATATTATAACTTTCCCCTAATCTAGGATTTAATTTTGTCATGATGCATCATTAATCGAAAAATTTTCTATTTTTTTCGACATTTTGAAATCATCCTGTTCCATTCTGTAATACTTGTAAAACATTTTCAATTGGAAGTATCTGATTTATTTAGTATGAGAATTTATGACTCATATTTAGACCAAAATGCGAAAATCATTGTTATTGTTATTATTTCATTTCAGAATGGATGTTGTTACATTATTTGTCATCCGATATCCGATATACATATATATATATAATGCGTTTTTCTGGGCAACAATAATTTGAAATAAGTAAAGAAATGTCTACATTTTCTAGAATAGATTATGATAGTGCAGCATATAATGCATATCGCCCAACGTAAGTTCAATATAAATTTTATACTGTTTAATATATTTTTTTTAATCCTTTTTTTCCCTCTTCAAATACATATTCAAGATATCCACAAAAATTATTCGAAAAAATTTACAATTATCATAAATCACATAATGGATCATTTGATGCAGCCTTAGACGTGGGAACCGGAACAGGTCAAGTGGCTCAAGTATTAGCTGATTCATTTAAAAAAGTTTACGGTGTAGATTCATCAGCGAAAATGTTAGAAAATGCAGTTAAAAAATCAAAAAATATTACATACTCGGTCTCGACCGCTGAAAATCTCGGTCAATTTGGTGATTCTTCGATTGATTTATTAACCGTTGCTTTGGCTGCTCATTGGTTTGAATTACCTAAATTTTTAGAGGAATCTTATCGTGTTCTTAAATCACCTTCGTCATCATCTGGTGGTGGCACACTTGCAATTTGGGGATATAGTAGTAATACTTTTGATAATTATCCAACTGCTTCAGAACTGTTCGTTGATTATACTACAAATTTGATGCGTGATTATTGGGAGAAAGGTGTATTGGAAATGGATAATTTATATAGAGGATTTGATATTCCTGAACGTTTATTTAAAAATGTTAAATTTGAGGTTTACGATGGAACTAAAGAGAGTGAGCAATATCGTTTTATGGAAGCTGATTGGACACTTTCTCAATATGAAAAATATTTAAAAGTAATTATTGTTTGATTCCTTTGACTTGTAATCATATAAATAAATAAAGCTGACTATTATTATTATTTATAATTTTTAGACATGGAGCTGTCATAAGACATTTTCATTAAAATACCCAAATGCTGAGAATCCGGTTGATAAATTGATTGCAAGGATGAAAGAAGCAGAAGGTTGGGAAGATGATCAATTATTGAAGATTTATTGGCGTACAGCTTTTATCTTGGCTGAAAAGAATTAGAAACGAGTTTTTACTAATCAATATTAGTCAACTTCACATGTGATAAAAATATAAATAAAATAATTTATTGTAACAATTTTTTTGATTTGCTTTTGATTGATGTTAAATGTAACCCCCAATAAGGTGGCCTTTGAATTTCAACACTTTCTTGTTTCAAACTTTTTTAAAATAACCTACAAGATAATTGTAGTAATCGATCCAAAGTTATAAATTCAATAAGGGTCTAATTTTTTTCTCTTTGGTTTTAGATGGTAAACCATCTTCAACAATGTCAAGTAATTTTATCTTTGTAATTATTAATAAGTATTAAATCGGTTATTTTTTTAGTAAGCAAAACATATTCCTCATAAAGCTCCCAACGGTTTTACTAGTATACTAGACATATGTTTTCGTTATTCCGAATGGAATTCGACATTAATGACATTTCTCTTCAATTTGTTTTCTTTCAATCCATTGTTCAAATGTTCCTTGACGACTATCACCACTCAATGACTTGCACTTTTGAATTTTGCGAACTAGCCTCAAATCATCATCAGTATTAAATAATATATTGTAAAATAAGCAAATTTCTTAATATCCTCAAAGGCATGATATGACATCCTTCAGCAATAATACTTTTTAATATAGCATTATCATTATTTGGGGCCATCTTTGCTTCCTTCTCGAGTTAGCGTGGGAGCTCAAACATTATTCCACTTGGATTGACTTCATGGTCGACACTTTTGGATTAACAAATTCCATGTAAGGATATGCCTTTAAAGTATCGCTATGAAAATAATGATATGCGCAAAGTGGTTATTTTCTTTTGGGTTGTCCTTCTAATTTTTTTGTTATGCTCGTTTTTCCCTGCGCCCAGTGTCCGTTTGCCGTTTTTGGCCAACAAACATATCAAAGCTATCGAAATTGAGAAAATCCCGGCTTTGGCCAAATTCCAGCGTTGCCTGCACCAGTTAGTTCCTCCTGAAATCATTTACATAATAGTATTATACGACTTTGCATTTGGTATTTAATCAATGGTGGTGATCAGTAAAATAAAGATCAGCAAAATTTCATTGATTAAAAAAAAAAAAAAAGTGATGAAGAGGCAATTAAAAAAAAAAGAAGTTATACCAAGGTAATTAAAAAATATTCATTAATAGTGATAACGATAATTATAATAATTGAAAATAATTTATTAGTAGTAGTAATAATAATAACAATGATAACAATGATAATAATAATAAAAGTAAAGGAGATCTTACAGTAGATAAAAAATTATTTACATTTGATGTTACTGGAGATGAAGAAAGTATGTTCAAATAAAATAATAAATAATAATAATAATAATAACAATAACATAGTTCGATAATTAATAAATTAGATTTTTTTTATACATAAAGTTCAAAAGAAAATAAAATTAAAAATTGAAAAATCTGATAATAACAATCTAAAGAACAACCAAAATGAGAAAGAAGGGGGTAATGATGATAAGGCGTCATCCTCAACTACTATGATTGATTCGTCTTTACAATATAAAAAATTTAAAAAAACCAAAGTATCAGATAAATTTATCGAGAAAAGATTAGAAAAATTGACAAAAAAAAGGAATAAAAATAAAAATAGATTTATTTTTGAAAAAAACAAATTACTTAGTGATGCAGTTAAAAATGCAGGAAAGTATGATGTTTGGTCAAAAGAAGAAGAAGATGATGTTAATAATTGTAAGAAAAATTCTATTTTTGATATTTTTGATATTTTGATATTTTTGAATTTTGAATTTTTATTATTTTATCTTAGTTAAAGATAACGATGATGGTGATTTCTTACAACCTGTTAAAAAAAGAAAGATTAAAGTAAATATATGTATATTTGCAATAATTTTATGATCCAACTATTATTGATATAAATACCAATTATTATTATTAAGGAACCTCCAACATTAAAATTGAAACCAACTGAGATTATTCCTGCTGTTCATAAACCACATCCTGGTGCTAGTTATAATCCAACTTTTGAAGATCATCAGGTATATAATTATTTATTAATATTAATAATAACTAGTAATAAACATTTTAAATAATTTTACCATTCATTTATTATATTTGATTGGTGATATAGTTACTTCTTAAAATTGCCCATGAAGAAGAAGTGGATAAATTATTAAAGAAAGAACGCATCGCAAAGGAACTTCCCCATTTAGAGTTGTCTTCAAACATTGAAGATATGGCTGATGATGATGGCAACAACAACAATAATTTATCAGAAAAGGAGGAGGGAGAGCAAGAAGAAGAAGAAGATGATGGTGATGATAAAAATGTCTTTACATCGAACAAAAATCAACATAAAAAAACCAAAACTGAGAGAAATAAAGAAAAGAAAAAATCAATGTTGTTGAAAGAACAAGAAGAAAAAATTGCAAAAAAAAATAAAAGAAAACAATTAGAAAAGTGAGTGAGAATAAAATTTATTGTCATTGATATTATGGTAATAATAATACATTTTATTTGTCCTTTATAAATAGGCTTAATGAGATAATAGAAACTGTTGAACAAAACACAATCAATGCTGAAAAGAAATTAATTGAAAAAGAATTAATAAGAAAAGAATTATCAAAGTTACCAAAGAAAAAAATTGGAAAATACAGGTATGTGGTTTATTGTTATCATTATATTTTGAGGAATAATATTTTAATATATATCTTTTTTAAAGAGTTCAAAAACTACCAGTTGAAATTCAATTACCAGATGAATTAACAGGCTCTTTAAGAAAATTAAAAGTATATTTTATTTGGTTTTTTTTTTTTTTGATAATAATTAATTAATTAATCTTTCATTAATCAATATATTATTAAAAAACTTTGAAAATAGCCTGAAGGTAATTTATTTCAAGATCGTATGTGTAGTCTCCAAGAACGCAATATAATTGAACCAAGAGTAAAAATTAGGTAAATATAAAAATTTATTATAATTATAATTATTTGATATTTTATTGATTTAATTTTTTTAATTTACATAGTAAAAAACGAAAATATAAATTAAAAGAATCAGAAAAGGCATCATATAAAACTTAAATTATAAATTTTGTGTGCGCATTATTTATATCTTTTAGCTTTTAAAAAGATTTCAGTATACATTTTAATATAATAATAATATTTATTTAAAAAGATCCTTGTCTATTATATTTTGTTTGATAAATTCAATTGTCCAATCTTTTATAATTAGCAATTTTGTAAGAAGTTTCACTGCTATTAATTGTTAATGGGGTTGTATAGAAAATTTCAGTTTCTTTGATTTCAAATAGCATTTATTCTGCATTCGTTGTTATTGATAATTAATTTCATCGCCCGTAATTAGTTTTGTCACCTGTAATTAATTTTGTAATAAATTACGGATTACGTATTTACGGTAATTAGGTAATTACCATCCCATGTATACATTTGACAAAGAATTATAAATAATCCATATTACTAATACCATTACTAATACTATCAGTTAATTATTATTATCAATGTGCATTATCAATGTGCATATTCGAATTGGCAATATTCGTTTTATTATTATTGTTGTTATGTTTCGAATTATTGATTTTATTCGAATAATTGGTTTCATTTGAAATTAATGGTAACCATAATAATAATTGCTTCTTTTTACATATCACTTCAAACGAAGTTTTTTTTTAGAATTTGATTTTGTCCCATTTATATCATCCCAGTTATTAAAAAAATACTCTAAAATTTCACGCCATTTATTTTTACAATATCCATTTTTACATATCAGTTGTTTTGGCTTTACTATGTTTTCACATACCAATTCTCAAAAAATGCCAATTTCTACCCATTTTTGATAATGCCATTTCAAATATAATTACCCAATGCCCTATTGTAATTATACATAAAAGGTCTTCAAGAGAATATCCCAGGGTATACCATTGAAATAGATTAGAAAATATGCCAAATTTATGGAGTATTAGAGAAAGGGCGAGCAGCGTTGCAGGCAGAATAAATTGTAAAAAAATATATATCTCATTTCCAGATAATGTTACTGATTAATGATCAGAGTTTTTGGAAAGTCGATTGATAAACTTTTCAAAATGCTATTTAAAAACATTTGTCATGTGTTATAGTGACCCGCACCGTACAACAATATGAATAGTAATAATAATATAAAAGGAGAAAAGATATGGACTCTCTTCTCATTTACAACCGCAACAACAGGTACCGTCCCAATTATCACATCACCCACAAAATCCATAACAAATTCACCCATGAAATGTTCTTCAGACACTTGTTATGGTTCAAAAGCCTGTGGTTGGGAACAAAAAGGAAACTACACTGATTACATATTAATCGATCACATGACTCTTCTATTCTTAATTCATTTATATAAAATCTTCGTGTTTACTATAATAAGAGTTTTATATACATGCAGCTTACTCTCGATAACAGCCCTTCTGTTTCAACAAAGAAAAGCCGTTATAGACAATATATGAAACATATGAGATAATTTTAATTGGGCTCAAATTCTCAGTCTGTTATAGAACGACAACAGTTCTGTTATAGGGAGAGTGAACTGTATGTGTTTCTTTTTTTAAAGAATCCCACAAAATAAACAAATGTATTGAACTTTATTTACAAACGTAGTCAAATAAAAGCTAATATAAAACATCATAATGATCCATATAATGAGCAAGTTCTTGAAGTATTAACAAATAATATATTTTTATTAGAATAATTTAATTCATTCGATTTTGAAAACAACCAACAAAATAAAAATAAATTATTATACTACCAACACATTCCTCAATCAAATATGAGATAAAGTTTTTTTTCGGCATGCGCGTATTTTTCATTTTTCATAGTGTATTAATGTGTGGTCACGCCTATCTTTTGTTTAAATTATTTACTTATATAATATTACGTTAATACCTGTTTACGAATAATAATAATGAAATATAATTAATTTCTATGTATTTAGATAGAGTGATCGAATTAGTAAATGAATGGTAAACATAATTACCCAATATCTATATCTCTACGTCGTCGTGGGATTTTTATAGTGCAGGTGAAATGTCCCGCCTTTTTATCTTATCAGTTAAGAATTCTTAATAAACTATTATTTTTTTTATATGATTTCATATGTATTATATATAATTCATTACTTTATTCTAGTGTAATAATAATATTTACCTTATAATATGAATTTACCTTGGCATTTCGTTTAAAATTGGTTCATTAAAAAGAGCAAGGACGATGATTTATGCAATTTACATAATATCTCATAAAGGGATCCATTCGAAGTAATAACAATAGCAATAGCTATCAAATCCTTTCTGCCTCAAACTGTGATTTTCATTACCATTGCTAGAATGGTAGTACAATACATCATCACACTTTTTGATTTCTACCATGACACAAACTGGAAAAAAAAAATCTCTGGTACTATATTAGTTTTTTTAAAAATGACAGGTAAAAAAATTTTACAATCTTTTACTTTTTATAATGATTAAATAAATGATGATTTATTGCATAAGGCTGTTTCAAACTGAAGCTCTAATTAAAGAGATAAAACTGTAGATAAAGATGCCTCCTGATTATGATTATTATATTATTACTTGTTTTCTCGAGTTCTATTATATATATGATATATATGATATATATTAATTACTAATAAATAATTATATGTATATTATATTTAGTAATAATATACAAAGAAAAGATGTATATTTAGAGAGACTTTTTACTTTCATTCGAAGAAGTATATATGCGGCGGATTTGATTATAAATAAATATATAGTCTCATGAACAAGGAAGTTTGACGAAACAAATACTAATTAGGTGAATATTTTTATATTTTATTTAACGTCATCTGATACCCACGAATCTGTATTATTATTATATTTTCAAATGACATGATTTCGTATATAATCAGATAATATTAATAATTATTAATGATATTCTTAAACAGAAAGCAAGGTTTTATAAAGTCCTTGTTTATTTTTTTGTGCCAGAATTTCACATTTTATTTATATAAATTATTATTATTATTATTATTTGTAATTGCTAATATATTCTTTTTTTTAAAAAAATTTTTATAGATTCAAGAATTTTTTTTTTTTTTTAGAAATAAAAAGTTTTCCAATCAATACTTTGATATATAGATATATATACCAACCAAACTCTCTCCACTTATGCCTTTTTCACATTATATTGATTGATTAATTAATTTCCATTATAAACATCAGAAATCCAATATTTAATTTCGGAAATTTCATTATTTTCCACTGAACATTTTTTAAATTCAACATCATTTTCTAAATGTTCAAATTTAAAATCTTCCGTCTCATAACCTAAGAATTCCATTTCGTCAACGTCTTCCATCGATGGTGAACCTTGATGATCTAAAGCTGCTGTGCGTGTACTTCGAAGTCGATTTCTAATAATAATCATATTTATTATCATTAATTAATTGATTAATTGCTTGATCGTTATTAATAATAAAAAATATTGCCATTGGAATTGAATATCGTTTACATTTCATTTTCCAATAATGTTTTAACACGTTCTGGTGGCAAGGCTGTTATTAAATCACTCTTATTGCATATTATTAATGTTCTAATCTTAAATTTATTTACATCTTTATTTGAAAATATGTCATACAAATACCTATTGTTACATACAAAACATATAGACATATATTTAATTATATTATGTTAAATGTTAAATTATATTCCAATTATGAAAATTATAAATACGTACTCTGCATTAGATCTTATGTTTCTTGTAAAAGTTGAACTATCAATACAAAAAACTATTCCATGTGTGATTGGTATAAAATCTGTGAATTTAAAACGTAATTTCTCATGTCCTGGAATATCCACAAAATGGATTTGATCCTTTGTTAATTCTATACTCTAAAATTAAAAATTAAATCACATTAATAATAATAACGAATGATCTTGGGAAAGAGAAACAGACAAACAAGACAAAAAGAAAGGGAATGATATTTACATCTTCGTATAGTTTAATATAACCTTCATTTTCTTTCATTGATGTATGTGTTTGTATTGATTTTTCATATTGTAACTTTAAAAAAAATTTTTTTCAAGCTTTATAATTATTATTAAAAATAAAATAGATTATAAATAGTGATTATGATTATTATATACTTTTCCAAATAAAGAAGTTTTGCCAGAATCACTTAAGCCCAATATCAAAAATGTATTTTTTTTTGTTTTCTTTCTAAAAAAGCCAATTACTTGTATTTTTTGAGATAATATAAATTATTTATTAAATTAACCAAATTGATTATTTTATAAGAACTCTCAATAATTTTTTAACTTACTTGTAATCAAAGCTACAAACGCCGAGATTACAATAACAATAATATAATAATAATTCACTGAATTCACAAAATCATCCATTAATTAATTATTTTATTGATTTGATTTATTTTTTAATCAAAATTTTATTTGCTAACTAGATCAGCAGCAACTTTACGAAAATCTTACCAAGAAAAGCGGTAAAATCACTATTATTGGTGTGAACTTTACATTTTTAAATAATTGATTGAACTAAACATTTATTTTTTGGGATCCTTAATTTTCATCACAAAAGAAAGAAATTTATTAATTTAAATTTATTTATTCCTTATACATTTGTAAATTGCTTTTCCATTCTAACGTGTGGAATATTCTCTTCATAAAATATTTCATAATTATTATCATTACAGTTGCTATATTTGGATGATAATGATATTTTATAACCCCTTTGTTCATACCAATCTTTTTTATCAAATTGAGCATGTAAAATAAAATTTGAAATTTTCAATTCATTATATCCAAACTTCTCGATTTCTTCCAATAATCTTGTTCCAATTCCTTGAGATCTATATTGTTTAATTACTGAAAGTCTACCTATTTTACATTTTCTTTTTACTAATGAAGATGGTGATGTATATGATGAAGAAGATTTGGATGAAGATGTGAGATGTTTATTATCATCATATGAATGAATTCTAACGGTGCCAATTGGAATTGAATTTTTCAATGCTAATAGATAATAACAATTTGGATCTGTATCATATCTATAATAATGATGAAACAAAAAATAATTAATTATCTTATACACACACACATATAAATAAATGAGTCACATATATATATTAATATGCTTACTCATCAATTTCTCCTTCAGGTGAACAATTTTGCTCTTTAACAAATACTTCAAATCTAATACTATGACATTTTTCTTTATCTTGTGCAATAATAATAGATAATTTAATAGATAATTAATGGATAATTTAATGTATTAATTAATATACCTTTAAAGTCTTTAACAGGAATTATTTTGATGTCATCATCATTTTTATCCATTTTTAATTATCTTAATTTGTTGCTTTGTTTTTGTTTTTGTTTTTATGACCGTTATCAAATATAAGTACACATTACTATTACTATTTAATAATTTGGTTTTACGAATTTTCAAAAAAGAAATTTTTAATTTATAAAAAATATTACACGAATTTCCTGCAATTAATCTTATTACTATATTTGTAATACAAAATATGTAATAATTTTGTTTGAATAAATAAATATCAATATTTGTTCAATTTTATTTCTTAAAAAAAAATTCTTTTAATTCAAAGGACGAATTATAACAAATTTATAATTTAAAGAATTTCGACCATTTTTCATCATTATCATCTAATAACCCACATTCTTTTCAATTATACATTTGATATATCATCCATATCAAAATTTTTAATCTCTACTCTCTTTCTCTCTCTTTCTCTCTCTCTCTCTCTCTCTCTTTCCCTACACTCCTCTCCTCTCTCCCTTTTATTCTTTGAGAATTCCATTCCTCGCCATTAAATAATTCTCCAACTTCTTTACTCTTTAACCTCCTACCTGTCATTATTCCCAAAACATTAATACAAAAAAAAAACAACAATGCCATCTATTACTGCCACGACTACAACTATTTCCGTCGGTAATGGTAATAATAATGCCATCTTTACTTTGAAAATGAAAGGTGCAGCCTTGAGCTCAATAATTTCATCAAAATTATCAGATTTAAAAAGTGATTTTAACATAGATACACATTGTATCGACGACATATCTACAACAAAAAACACTTATCTAAATGACCTTGAACCATGGACAAATTCAATTATTCATACAGTTTGTGCGCTTAGCATTTGTTTGCTTTGCTATGTTGCTTGTGGACCGATAAACGGATCTAAAATTTTGTCACATAACTTAATGACTTACGATTGTAGTTGTGCACATTTTTAGTTGAAGTTATTATAATATCTAAATTAATCTAATTAATTAATAACAAAAAATAACAATAATAGAAAAAACATTAATTTCGCATTAATATTCCTTGAAATTTTTTTTTAAAAATAAATTTGGGTTGCTGGCACAATTTTTGTAAATACTTGATTAATAATTGCTTGTTTCTTAAAAGCGATAAAGCTATACATGCGATTTCCATGGTCTTTCCCCTCATTCCCCACCCTCTCTTCACTTTTCTCGATTGTGATTAGTTAATTTCGTTTTTATTCTTTACGCTCATGTATAGTAGTCTTAAAGTATAATCATCTTCCATACATCAAATCATCATAATATAAACATTCAATTGCATAATCTAGACATAGAATTAATCATATGGCAATAATAATAATAATAATAATAATAATAATAATAATAATGATAATAATAATAATAATAATAATAATAATAATAATAATAATAATAATATTAATAATAATTTGTAAAAAAATTATTTTATTTAAATAAAGAAACAAATCACTGTAAATTTATTTAATTCACAAATTTTTATACAGTCACGATGGGCCCACTCGTTACAGCAAACTTTTTATTATAGTTAACTTGCTACGAATATTTGCACACGTGGGTGACATAAATTTCTTATTTATTTGTAACAATGCATCAAAAAAATGTCAAATAAATGTGTCAACAAACCGTGTAAACTTCTTTATGAAAAGTATGAAAAGTAGAAAAACAATATTTTTTTTGTTTAATCATTATCAGTTATTATCAATTATCATCGTATGTTTATTATCTTATCTCTCTTTAATTAAATTACTATACATGTAATTGTTTGTTAATATTATCTTATCTCTCTCTAATTAACCAAGTCTAATAATCATTACTATGCATGCTTTAGTTTAACATATACAAATAGATAAACAATAAATAATAACATTTATATTGGTTATAGAATATATTACAATAATATAAATAAATAACATAATATATTTCGTTTGAATCACACGATAAATAGTTGATCACTTAGCACGGACTAACCTGTAGGGTAGAAATAATAACAAAAGATAACAATAATCCGCTATCTTATCATTTTTGATAAGCATTATGCAACAATATGTTATGTATATATGTAATAAAACCTGTAATATACAATAATAAATAAGTAAGTGTATTATTGTTAATTAATGAATGATCCATTTTTATATTATATTTAATATTAATGACAAGTAATCTAAAAAAATAAATAAATGCATACATCAATCGAGAAGTAGAATTGACTCTGAGAAAATAACTATTAGAGATGATGCATTTGTAGTAGTAGTTATTGTTGTTATTTATTATTTATCACTTATTTATTTATTTGTTATTTATTATTTAGTTTCCTGCAACAAGTTCCCAGCTTGTTTCAGTCAAAACCATCACGTAATACATTTCGGAATGAAAAGTTCTGGGGGTAACGAGATAAATTTTTATTATTATTTGTTATTTATTATTGTTTTTTGTTGTTGTTTATTGTTGTTTATTATTTAATCTTTTTAATTCTTTAAAAGCTTAAAAATGACAACGGCGCGTATGTAAACAAAATAAATTAGATTAAAAATAAAAATAAATAAATTCAATTAATTAATCAAACAAATTATAAATTAGAAAATAATAAAGATGCAGACGATTTTACAGAACGCGAAATAATTTTACGCAATTTACATTTTAAAGAGCTTTTTTTTTTTTTTTGTGAAGAGATCATATTAATAGGCCTCGTAGATTGCTTCCGATTAAGGACAACTATTTCTAAAAAATGATTATGCAGTGTCACATATACTAATATAAATATAGACAAATTATGTGCGAATTTTTCCGTTGACGGCGATAATAAAAAAATATTCGGAAAAAGGGCGTTTAGTTCTGTTTCCTTTAAAAACCGGGAATTTAATGTTACTTAATTTACTCATTTTGATTTGTTGTTTGTTTGTTTACTATTTGTGTATTTTTTAATCAGAGTTTTGTTGTTGCAGCATTTGTTTGTTACAATATCACAATCTTTTTGTTTGAAATAATGATCTAGATTCAACTATTAAGTCTTTTTGAAGAAAAGATGGATAAAATCCAAAAACGGGATTACGATTACCTTATTAGGCTAATCATCAAATCTTTTTGCCCAATTTTCTGGATATAAAAAGTTACGCAAAAATTTTTAATTCAAAATTTGAAATTAATTGAAAAATTAAAAATTAAAAAGTAAGCTGTACATTCGTTCACCTGTTCCATAGTTGGAAATTTTATGCTTGGAAACGTGAATATAAATTTTGGGAATGAACAATTTTTTGGTTTATTGAAATTTTGCGTATTACACGATCAAAAAAACCAATTATTTGGTTACCTCTATATGCAAAAGAGTCCTTTAATATCCTCAATATCAAAAAGACCCAAAATAGCATCTAAATTTTATTTACCTAAGAAAGGAATAGAAAGAGATATGATAATTAAGTACTCAGGGCCAGGTACAAAAAAGAATAGATTACTTGTTATTTATTTATTATTATTATGTATGACAAAAATAATAAAAGCCGTATTTATATTTTGTTTAGCCATTAGCTGTCTTTTGATATGAAAAAAAAAGCAAATTTGATTTTGTATATAAGCACGTTTTACGAAACAAGGGAATGGCGTGCGTTTTGATCTAAAAATATATTGAAGAGCGGGAAAAAAAAATTTTTTGTAAAAGGAAATTAAAAAAAAACAAGTTTTGAACTTGTATATGTGCAAGTTGTCCATTTTTTGTAACTTTTGGAAAGAATTTGAAAAAAAAGACGACGTGTGTAATGAAGTGAAATGCCTGGGAAAATCACACACATTGGTTATTGAATGTGGTGCACAATTTATATTTTGAGGCGGCAATATACGCGCATACATTTGCATGGCTATCAAGTATATATATCTAGTTATTTACAATAAAAACCTACGAGAATAAGGTTTAAGAGAAAATTTTGAATTCGTGTAAATCATCGATTAAACTTTTTTTACGACAATATTTAAGTAGGGGCCCGAGTAAATCAAGATTCCGGTTCTGATAATGACAGTTTTAATTTAAACTTCTAATTCAGTTTTTTGTTTGCTAATTGAAATGTCAGTTGAAAATTTTCTTTATCAAATATATTTTATGTCACAAATAACAAATATTTGTTAAATTAAATTATAAAAATAGCGAAAGATGAGAAAATTAAATTGCATTTATTATTTCTAAATAAATGCATTTTCAATACGCACACGCACACGCACATGTAATGATAATGCCTATATATACACAGTAATCAAAATCATTTACTTGATTAAACAGTCATTTGTTTGTTTCTCTATTTTCTTTCCAGTGTGTAGACAAATGAGAAGAAGACATGATTAACATTTCTCCAGTTCATTAATCAATTCGTCCACCTCTAACTCTCTTCCCCCCTCTCTCTCATCTCTTACAAAAGATAAGAAAGTAACATAATGGCGAAATTTGGTAGGAAAACTTTATAAAAAATACAAACTATTTTTTTATTGTTTGTTATTTTTTATTTAACACAATTATTGTAATTTTCCACAAGACAATGATGATAATAATTGTCTAAATTATTTTTTTAAAAATAAATTCATTGTGTAACAATACAACAATACTACAAATCATTTATTTCCAACCCCCAATTATAGCAATAATAATTTAATTGTTTCTTAAATTTTAAATATTTAAAAATTTTTTTTAATTAAGGGGAAAATACGGTTCTTTGAAACAAAATCCCACGATTGATCTTAAAATTTTCATCGTATAATCAACATACAAAACAAAAAATCCCATCATCATCCAACATTCACGTCCAAATATATATCATCGTATGTAAATCACTAATCAACTCTAAGATTCATCTTGGTGTTTAGTAATGAATGGTAGATAATTAATATATATATGTGTATATATACTGATGGTATTGATAAACAATTAATGTAACAATAAACAATAAATATATACTACATTCCTTTTTGACAATAATAAAAAATGTGCACTTTGTTTCACATCTGTTGATCCTAATTAAAATTCTTTGGTAATAACAAAGCAACAAAAAGGTAAACAAGGCAATAGTGAATAAATAATAATAATAATAATTTTAACAATAATATAATAATATTCTATTATTTAAAAAATTTAAAGAAAATTTTGAAAAAAAGTAAAAAATAATTTATCCAAATTCAGATAGTATCATTGTTTTACAACGTTGATGAAATGATAAATAAGATGCATAAATGAAAATATTAAATATTTTAATAATCATTTTAATCAATGCTGTTTTGTGTAGAGGTATGATGAATTGCTTATATTTTGATTATAAATATATTAAGTAATATGGTGGCCAGATTATTACAGCGTATAAAAAAAAAATTTTTTAGTTTAAATAATGAAAAGACATATTATAATTAATTTAAAATATATAAAATATATAATTAATTTAAAATATATAAAATATATAATTAATTTAAAAAAAAATTTTTTAAATTAATATTTTATTATTTTATATTAAACAAATAATTATAAATAAACCTGCTTTTTAACTTTTTTAATATTCCAATTTTTTTATATATAAATAAATCATATTTGACAACTTCCAAAACGATAATAATCCTTTACCATACCTACCAACACATATCACAGTTTTCAAATCTTTCAAAAAAGATAAAGAAAATTTTTTCTTCTATTTCCACGATCAAAGGAATTCGATATTAATGAATAATAAGAATATCTAATAATATTAATAATAATAAATAATAATATATTATAATAAATCTTTTTTTTAGTTTGTCAAATAATTTTTAAAAATAAATAAAAAATATTTTTAAACAAATTTTTTGTGTTAATCTTACCCTTTTACAATATCAAAATTAAAATAATTCAAAGAATGTATATTGATAATAACAATATTTTTGAGGATAATTATTATAATTCACCACCATCACCGTCATCACCATCTTCAACATCTCCACCTCATAACCTTCGCTTCTCCATAGCAATAGCACCAACAAAAATTTTCCGTTCTCAATCCACTGATTCTCATTATCTTTCTAAATCACCAACAGGCTCGTTATCATCATCTTACTCTAACTTGTCATCCTCTGTCACCAGCATTTGTTCTGAGAGCCATAACGATGAAATCGTTATTCTTAGCGCAAATAGTTTGTACAATTACAACGGCAAGCAAACTCGAGATTATTATTTTGACGATGACGACGATAATGTCAACGATGAAGATTATTATGCCTCTTCCTATTTTTCATCATCCAATACCAAGCCAATTGACATTCCAATGAAAGCTCAAAAGGAGGATAGTTCATTAGAACCAAACAAAGGCACATTCGGAGAAGATAATGGATTTCCTTGAGAACTTCTTTATCGACGACAAATAATTTTAAATACACAATTTAATATCAATATCAACCTATTAATTTATTAATACTTGTATATTTAATTATGACTTAAGAATTATAAGAATGGAAATTTATTATTCGCGCATGTTTTTTGGATTTTTAATCATTTAAGAAATATGAAAATTTTCTCTATTTTTTTATCTTTGTCGGAAATTTGAACGAAAGCAAAACGAAAACGGAAACGGAAACAATTATGCAAAATTTAACATTATAAGTTTTATACAAGAAAATAATCAAAATAATCTTCATCTCATTTTTATATTATTTTTTATGTTTTTATATGATTTATTTAATTTAATTAAGGTTTTTAATCAACAAATTTACGTGCGCGAATAATTTATTATATATACATACCCTTTTTTCTTATAAATAATTTTTTTGTAATTATATCCTCTTTTTTTTTATAATTTTGTGATAAAAAACAAGACAAAACAACGTGAGATATCTTTTTTTTTTTTCTAATCACATTCATTTTGTATATATATATATATATTTTCCCCTTCTTTGATTTCCAAAATTCCCACCTTCCTATATTTTCCATTATATACCCGTCATATATAATTTCACATTTTGTCTTTATATTTTTTATTTTATCTATATATATATTTTTTTTTATTCTATATTCTGTCAAAAAAAGTGTCGAACAAAAAAAAAACAAAAAAAGTTTGAAAGTAATGAAAAAAAACAAAAAAACTAAGAAGTAAATAAATAAAATCGATAGCACAACTATTATTACATACAATTTTAAAACAAAAGTCATGTGTGTGTATATATTTTTTTTTGGGTTTTCAATTGATTATATAAAATCGTGAGTGAAATGAAAGCTGCCAGATGATCTCACAATTGGATTATTTCATAAATGTTTGGCAAATCAAACTAAAGGAAATGGTTATTTTGCTAATTGATTACTATATATATGGATTCAATAAATATTCGTATTCATCGTATATTCTCATGTTCGTATCATTCATTCATTCGTTCATTCATTATCAACGTGGTTAAATTTTAATTTTACGGAAATTTATTTATATATATTTATTATTATATTTTTATATATATTGTTTATTATATTTGTCATTATATATTTGTTATATATATATTCACATGTTCAATTCAGAAAATGTAGCAGCCGACAGTTGTTGCAATCGGCCAGTATCCATTTTTCCCAAGCCTTATAGCATGTGATTTAATGAAATCACAAAGTCTGCATCATGTTCATTCATTCATATTCTCTTTTGTATCATAAAATCCTTTGCGACATGATGATAACATATTACCTTGATTTTTTTTAAAAAACCTTTCCCATTATTAATTTCACGCGTTCAGACTGACTGATAGATATTTTTTGTTGAAGATTCCAAAAAGTCAAATTTATTTCCTTTATAAGTAAAGATACTGAAACATCATTTTTGATCCCATATAAATAAATCTTTTGGTTCGATCTTATCAACGTTCATGGCAATATAACAAATTCATTGTATTAATTAATTCGATAATTTACTTTTCCCAACTAATATAATTATTATTCACAACAATACATCATGCATCTTGATTGTACTAATCACATTAATAATATCTTTTTTTTTTGCAAGTATTTATAAAGAACCGATCTGCCCTAATTGAAACAATGTAAGGATGAGGCGACTTTTAAAATGCAATTTTGAAAATATTGCTGATCCTTATTGCACGTCGCCCACGATTTCAATCGATGTTATAGAAGCTTTTGTAACAGTAATCCGCGAAAGATTTTGTATCATCTACATGAAGTTCGGCTAAGCGGCAGAGAATTTATCTTTTTCTAAAGATTGATATCCGTCATATATCTATTTCTTATCAAGATTATCCATATATAAAACGAAATGATTGCAAAAAATCAATTTCTTTCATTTATACTTAATCAGACACAACTGCTATGAAGAGCATTATTATCTTTATTTTAATTGCATGGACGATAACGAAACAAACGCAACCCAGAGAAAGTTCACCAAGTAAATAAATATCTTGTCTTTATTTAATTTCTTAATCGCATAAAGTATTATCTGTGTGGCACTTTAATTTAAATAATCGAATTTCAATTTATTAGTTTGTGCAATCTAAAGATTATAATATTTGTGTTATCGTTGTTTGTGCTTTGTGAAAATTTACGCCAGGAAAACACTTTTGCTCTCACAAGTAGTTAGTGGTATTGGAAATGAATTGGGCTTACTACATGCAGGGAGGCAAAATATGACTTATCACTGAAAGCTAATATTTGAGACAATGTAAACTCTCTTTCCTACTTCCAATTCACGTCGTGTAAGGCTTTTTAATTATTGTTTGTTTGTTTGTTGTTTCATTATTCAAATGTCAAACAAATTAAAAATGTGCATATTGATTAGATTATCTTTTTTATACATGATAATGTTTCACGGATATTTTGAATTTTAAATTCGTTAGTATTAAAATTGTGTTCTCAGTAATTAAAAATTAATTTTTATTAATTTTTAATTCTTTCCATCCCAAAAAAAGAAAACATATATACTTCCAATGTCGTCGCGTGTGTGTATACGAAAATCACATCAACGTATAATCATGTGAATAAACAACGGAAATACTTGTTAAAGATCATAATAGAAAAATTCTAGAAAAAGACTCTGAGATAATAAATAATTAATTATTGTGTGTGCGCAATTTATTTATTATATTTGTGTTGATGAATTTCACTGAGTAAAAAAACAAATACTGTTCAGTTAATATGGTTATATCATTATTTATTATTATTGTTATTGTTTATTGTTATTTTATTATCGTAATTATCGTCATTATCAGTATTAGTATAACAGTATAACAGTATCTTCTCTTTGTAAAGGTTAGAGTTTGTTATTTCCTATATGGATATATCGTACGAAAACATAGATGCTATGTTTTGCATAATTAAGGGTCTCGTGTGTCACAAGAAAATTTTTTTTATTGGCCCAAACCTCTTTTTTTTAATGGTAAAAAAAAAAAAGATTAAAGTTTAATTCTGATAAAGTTTTGTTCAATAAAATACAGAATTGAAAAAGAAACTGTTCCTTTAAAGATTTTTCTAATCCAATAGTGTGCATACATTATTATAATATTATTATTTATGGCCTTAAATTTTTTTTCTCAAAATATTCCAACTCTTTACAGAACGAATTTAGTGTTAATGGAATTAATTGGAAGAAAATAAATAAGCAAGGTTTTGCCATTAATTTGATGGTTTTGATTGACTGACTATATTTGATGGATTTGAACCAAGTGATTTTATTAATTAAAAAACCAAAACATAAATGTCTTTCTTGCATGCATGATCTTTTCAAGAAATAAAATGTTTTCATTTTTTATTTTCTATTTTTTTGTCAATTATCTTTCTTTCTCGGTATAATCCCAATGTTTTGCTTACTTCTATATATATATAATAATACGTGTACTCCAAGAACCAAATATATACATTTTTTTAAAGTTTTGGAAATTGTCTATTAAAAACATGTAGCTGGCTGAAAAATGAATTAAAAATTCCAAGTGGCTAAAAACCTATGTTGCGCGAGAGGCCAAAGTATTTCTAAATATGCTTTTTCGCATATCAGGTGAGATTATAATCATCCCATTTATTCATGCTAAAGACCTCCTTTCTACTATTGTTAACTATCAAATATGTCGTTCAATCAATCAATAAATCAATAAATAAATCAATCAATAAATCAATAAATAAATAAATCAATACATAAATCAATCAATCAATCATTCTTTTTCACTTTTAATTCTGGATGAAGAAAAGTTTCGGAAAGAAAATAATATTAGTATAATCGGATGTTGCACAAAAAATGACCAATCAATTTTTTTTTAAAAAAAGTAGAAATTTATCCAATTAGGAAAATTTAACAGGTTTACATAATAACATAATAATTATGTAATAATGAACGTTATATATATTTAGGCTTTTTTTTCTACAGGCATTTAGGAGAAAGAAACTCAAAATTTTGGATCATGTATATGTTCCTATGTTGATTTTGTTATTTATTATTGCCAAGAGGATTGGGATGGGTAAAATCATTAAAATAATATTTTTTTTCTTCAAGATTGTTTCCCAATAAATCTTACAATCTGTACAAAAATAGTATACTTATTTAGTTACGTTTGTTTCTAAAAAAAGTACCGCCCGATTTTTTCTTGATCTTTTTAACCATATTAAGTTATTAAGCAATACATGTATGCATATTGTGCATGAAATTCAAAGGATTCAAGAAAAATTATAACTCGAAATTTTCCATTTACCAGGTTCAAAAAGATCCAGAAACCACCAAATGTTATATCGAAACTTATATTTCCTAGTGTCTTTATTTGCATTGTTCGAATGTATCTCGTTAAAGGTAGAAAGAGAAAAAAGTGCATTCTTTTTTTAGAAGATAAACTCGATTTTGATTTCGATTTCGAAATTTAGGCTTGGATTCGATCGAAAAACTATTTAATTTTACTTTTTTTGTTAAAATTTTCCGAATCTTCCCATTTTTTCTTTTTAAACAATGATGACAGAAAAGAAAGACAAGTGTAATTTTATCAATTATGGTAAGGTTCGAAATGCCCAAACAAAGAATGAAAATTGTATATTCATTATGCGATGGTGTCTGTTACACAATATATAAATTACCCTAATTCGGTAAACTTGGATCTGGAGACTTTTGGTCCTACCTTTCCTGTGCTTTGACATATATGTATTGTGATTGGTTAGTTAAGCAACAAACAGTTAAGGCTAGCAGGGTCACTGGCTAATAATAGTCGTTGTTATTTTCGGTAGGTAGCAGTGTATCAAAGATCATTACGATTATTACTGTAAAATAAAAAAATCAATTAATTTATTGAATAGAGTTAAATTGCGGGTGCAGGTATTTTTAAATTTTCTCTGAGTAAAAATGTAAAAATATGCAATATTAAATTAACTAAATATAATTATTCCCACATACACAACATACATTTACTTTGCAACAGTTGTATTTTAAAGGAGAGAAGAGCAAGCACGAATTTCCTATTTGCTTTCTACATTTTCATATACATACATATTCTTATTATGTGATTTTTAAGGGAATGTTGTTAGTAATAATAATAACACATATATTGACTATGTAATACATAGTGTTTGCTTCGTGCAATATTTTTTTACTTCTATTTCTTCTCACTTTCTCTCCAAGATGTATTTTATTGCATTTATCATTACACGACAAATTTGGAGAACAGTTCGAGAAAATAATCCTCTCTTCCTAATACGTATGAATAAGTTACTAATATATTATCAATTGATTGTTAGTTTTTTTTTTTTTTTTTTTTTTGAAATTAATTAATAATAAATAAATAATAATAATAATAATAATAATAATAATAATATTTACCACAACAATAGTAAATCCGTTTGTTTATTTTGTTTAATTAATTTTTTTCACTCTGATAAAAGTTTTGCACGGGATCGACTTATTTACACATTCCCAATTTCCAAAGTATTGGATTTCCCTGTGTAAAGGCTAATACAAATTTGAATGGTTTATATGTTTGTGTAGTGAGAAGGTAAACTAATCCCGAATAATTAATTGCCAAGGCCCTCAAAATATTAATATTCTCCGTTGTGTCGTAAAATGCTCACAAACAAGTTGGTTAGGTGGTTAGGGTTAGTTACCCTCACCATTTTCGTACGACCTTCATTATCTCCCTTATGGAAAGTTGGAAAGGTGGGATAACGAACGATAATCAAGATAATCAATAAAATAGCGATTGTTATGTCTACTCGCTCGTCCGTTTCTGCTTTCGTAATCCATTATCTATTTTTTGCTCATACATGCACAAATTATGTAATCAGCAATACATGTGAATGAATGCATTTCTCGATCTTAATCAAGAAAAAATTAATTTGAACTTACCTTTTATGAATGAAAAATCATGTATATATATTGTGGGTACTCGAGAATATCCGAAAACATACGAATCATCAAATATGCCGAATATATCGAATAATTGGATCTCTCTTTTTTTTAAAATAAAAAATAAAAAACTTAATCCGATGTATCTGAGCGCATTTTATCCGATTGGTATTATCTTCTAACTGCAAAAAAAAAAAGTTAAAGATTATTATTATTGCGACATGGGAATTTGTTTGTTTACTGCCTGAATTGATTGATAAAATTCATTCATTCATTCATTCATATACATCCATATACATATACATATACATATATTCGATTCATATCCACCCATATAACTTTATTTAGCCTCATTCTGTTGAAACAATTAAATTAAAGAACAATAAAGACCTGAGTTGCTTCTTAATGAAGTTTGTAAGTAAATTTCAATTGGCACTCACCTGTTATCATGCTACCTGATGAATATATAGATATTGATTTAAAATAACACGTTATGAAATTTCACGTGAAAATGGGCTTATTTACTACGCGTGGGCTACCAACGAAAACTAAATCAAATTCAAAAATTATTTTCTCGAGATTGTCATTATTGCCATTGTTGTTATCTATTATCTATTGACAAAGAAATTCAAACCTACTTGTCTATCTTATCTTATCTATCTATCTACTCATTAAAAAAAACCCCCCGATAAAAATTTATCCTAATTTCACAATTAATTTTTCTCTGTGTCAAATTTACACAATTTAATTAATCAATTTAGACACCATAAGTAGAATTATTGCTGGATCGTGAATTTTTGGCTAGTTAATAAAAATTAATTAATTAATTGTCATTGATGCATAAAAAAATTTAAAGTTTCGAGTAATTCACATGAAAAGTAATCTCAATAATATTCCTTCCTCATATATAGAAAGAACGTAGATTGACAATTCACATAATTTTCAAGTTGAATAAAAATCTCTTTTTTGTCAATTAAGTGAATATATGAATGATATCATGTATGAATACTATGTATGCGTGAGAAAATCAATAAACATGAAAACTCTAAATCAACAAACAATGTGGGGTGATTATGTGTCATTTATTTTAAAAAATATTGTTTTTTACAAAAATATATTATATATAAAATAATGAATGTGATTAATTGATGTTTATAATAATATATATAGATATATGTAGATATAACTAAAGTTGGTTAACATGTACATAACACAGAATTTTGTATTTTTATTCTCGAAAAATGTGATCAATTAATGTTACTCCACCATATGCAGAACCAGCTGCTAACGCACCCACAAATGCTGTTTGTATTGATGCTATATATGCTCTATTTGGAGCAATAAACAGTGATTTGATAAACCCAAATACAACCAGACACAATAATGTTATACCACTGCTAATACAAAGACCAACAAATGGTGTATCAACGAAAAAATATGGTATCAATGGAATCAAACCACCAATAAAATATGCTATTCCAATTGTTAGAGCACTTTTCTAGAAATATATATATACACATAGATGTAGTAGAAAAGGGAAAGAGAGAAATATTATATATTAATCTTTTTTTAATTATAATAAAATATAAATATAAAATACCCATGATCTAGAAGGATCTGGTTTTTCAAGATTCAGTTCAAATTTCATCATAAAATCAACAAATTTATCTGGATTTTCTCTAAATCTTTGAATAATTGGTTTCAAAGCTCTTTCATCAAGTCCATAAGGTTCCATAATATCTAATAATAACATTGTCAATTAAATTAAACTTGGGGAAATGTTATTAAGAACTTTCTTCTTCTTGAATTACTACTAACCAATAATCTCTTGTATCTCTTCTTGTATACAATTCCTTACTTCCCTATAAAATTATAAAAATAAATATATCTGTACCTATATATATTGTATGATATATATGATATCTATATATGATATATCTTTACGATACATCTATGTATCTCTCTATTTGAATATTCTTTCTTTACCATTCTTCCCTAATCCTTTCTGTATCATAATGGTCAGATTCGGATTTGGTAGCAAGATAACCACCCAATCCCATAGAAATTGCTCCAGAAATCAACTCTAACATTGTTCACATTAATTATTATTGTAGTTAATATTAAGTTGTGTATATATAATTATTATTGAAACCGATATTCATGACGTACCTGCTAACCCAGCGATAAGTACAGTTTTACTACTCATTGTAGCCGATAAGCCCGCAGCCAAAGCAAAAGGTACCTTTTAAATATATGGATTTTTTTATAGAATAAAATTTATTAAGAGATGTAATAAATTCAATGATCTTATATAAATTATATGTATATGGTTATTATAAATAGATAGATTACAGTTAAGCCATCACTAAGACCTAAAATAATATCACGAACAACTTCTGGTGAATCAAAATGTTTTTCGAAATGAATAGGATCGGCAATAGGATCATATTGAGAACGACGTGAGAAAGGTAATAGAAATGTCATTTTTTAATTTTTTTGGGGAAGATATTTCTTTGGGTTACAAATATAAAATTAGATGTAACACGAGATATTATCATTTGTCAAACACGAATCACTTGATTTTTTTCTCTTTACGAGTGTTCAAGTGAGAGCTTAAATGATACCTAAATGGTTTATATCTATGTTAAACATGTAATAATGTATCCAGAATATTTAAATTTATGAAATATGTAATTTATTAGATGTAACGTAGTTTAACATTTGTTTGTAAATCTTTATTTTGTTTTGCAACACGAAAAGAAAACAATAATAAATTTATACATATATTACAGATTAATTTTGACGAAGAATAACAAATAACGCGAAGAAAAACTAAACAAATTTCCTATTGATTAATTAAATAATTAAATAAATAATTAATTAATTATGTAATTTATCCCTTTAAAAATATTTTAAATTTTAAATTTTAAAAAATTTTTTTTACATTCATTCATTTATTCATTTTACTTTTTTAATAAATCGTCAGATTTTACTATTTTATACATTTTATATTTTGATCGGATTTTCATCCACGCTCACAACAACAACAACAACAACGATAACATCAACAATTATAATAATGTTAAAATATACTTTTCCATTTTTGATAATTTTGATGAATAATAATAATAATGTTTTTGGAATAAGTCTTGACGACAACATCCAAAATAATATTGATAATTATGAAACCATTTCTAATAACTCTAATAATACAACAACAACACTTGGCGACGACAAAAATGCTACTACAGACTTTTATCTTGTAGTCACAATTGGTTTACTCGCTTCATTAATGAATCTCCTTGGTAGTTTATATGTTATACATCGTATGTATTATTTACTCTGTTTAGTTTGGGTGGGGGGTTTAATATTTCGAATTTTCTAAAAAAATTAATTTTCATTTCTTGGAAATTTTAAAGGAACTTATATTGTTTGGAAACTAGATAAAATTATAACATTATCTTTAAGAATGCCATTTTATATTGCATTAACAGGTAGAAATAATATTTATTTTCTTGCCAACAAATATTTATTTATTTACTAATTAAACAATAATATTTATTTATTTACTAATCGATTAATATTAACCATTATTTTTCACGATTAATTTTTTAAAAAAGATGCATTTTTATCTTTTATTCATACGATAAATTTAGTAAGTTTGTTTTTTATTTTTTATCCATTTAAATAAAAAAATCGATAAATTAATTATTTAATTTTTATAGTCTTATACAGCAGCTAACAAAACAACTTGGACACAGTCTTCATGTGCAGTTATCGGAGGACTTGTAATAATTTTATTCGCGATAAACGCTCTTTTAGTTGGTATAATAGCAATATCAACATGGTTACGTGTATGTAAAAATATTGAAATAGATAACGGAATTTATGACTATAAATTATGGGCCGTTACCATAACGTTATCATTGATTATAATATGTTCATCGGCAAACGAATTTGGCCCACAAAAATTTTGGCAAGTATTTATTATTGTTATAATTATTTGTATAAAATCAACATAATAATAATAATAATAATAATAATAATAATAATAATAATAATAATAATAATAATAATAATAATAATAATAATAATATTGTTGTCATTGTTCGTTAATAGGTGTGAAGGAAAACTCCAGAGTAAAACGATTCCCATAATATTATTTACTTTGATGTTAATAATATTAATATCTACAGTGTTTTCTTATCTACAAATCTTCCTTAAAATTCGTACCATTGATGATAATAACAATGATAATAATATTGAAAAAAGATCTTTAAAAAATTTAATTTCTTATATGTTTATTTCTATTTTACAACTTGTAAGTATTATTAACGAACGTGAAAAATAATTAACGAACGCGAAAATTAACACAAAGAACAATATTAATAATTATAATTATTGTAATTAATAGATTCCACTTCTCGTCTATCAATTGACTCGTTTATCAAATGTAAGTGCCATCTTTTTTGTTCACGAATATAATTAATTAATAATTAACATGTTAAATATTTCTAATATAGGCTGAACATGTTTTTTTATACTTGATGGCTGTAACCGGTAATTATTTATAAAAATAAAAAATATACAAAATAGAAAACATATAAATTAAATTAATTAATTAACCGTATACCTTCTTTTTTGTATTTTAAGCAATAAATCTTGGAGGAATTGGAAATTTTATTCAATATTTATTGAATGAGGGAATAAAACCATCATCTAATAAATTATCACCGCCACCATCATCCAACAGATCATCATATAATGATAAATCACCATCACCACCAACAAATAATCGTGAAATAATTAACGTTATAGATGAAAACGATAATAATGAGAAAGAATCAACATTATCTCCATTACCAACATTCAACACTAATAAAAGAAACAAACCAGATCTATTGACTTTAAGATATACGAATTTATCACATATTACAGTTGATTTCAGTAATACTGGTAATAATGATAATGTTGGTAGTAATGATATTGACAACATAAAAGGTTCTTATAAAAAATTGGTTCAGAATGAAATTAATGAAATTAACAAAAGAAGAAGTGAAAATATTAGTAATTATGGAGATGATGGTAATAACAAAGCTGGTGACGGTGGTGGTGTTGACGATGATGATAATAAATATGAAACATTTATAAAGGACTTTAGTGAATATACAAAAAGTTCATCAAATTAGTTATAATAAACGTATAATATAATATAATATAATAATAATATAATAATAATAACAATAAATAATTTTATTTAATTGAATTTTTAGAAAAATCTTGCAAAATTTTATTTATTAAATAACAATAAATAACAATAATAAATACAAATTGATAATTATTATCAAAATCATCTTTTTTTAATCAACTTGGATCTTTTAAAGTAGTGTCCAACCTTGAATACTAAAAAAATTATACGATAACACATAAAAAATCAAAATAATCAAAAATAATCTAAAACTTTTACTAGAAAAAATCGTTTTTTAATTCATACTATTTCTTTTATCTCACCTCAAAGTGGCTTTTAATGTGATGATTTGGAATGGTTTGAATTTGATAATTGATCCATCTTTAACATTATAATCAATAGCTTCTTGCTTCTCCTCTAAAATATTAGTTAAACATAAACTTTCTATTTGGAATGAACTAATAATCGTCAATAATAACAATAAGGAATATCGATTAATTTATATATAATTAAAAATAAATAAAATTTACAAAATAATAATAATATTTTTACCTTTTTAATTTAGCCTTTGCATGTCCACCGTAAGCCTCATATAATCTTAAAACTATTTCATTTGAATCTTCTGCACGTTTTACAGTATCCAAAATTACATTCGGTGCATTTTCAATCGAAAAATATGATTTCGACTCATGCTTTCGTATTGTTTCCTTAGAAACAAATCTTGTCCCAATGAAAAAATAATTAATAAATTTTATAATATATAATATAATAAGTATGTATATTCAAAATACCTTGTAATCAAAGGAACATTGAATTGGTACGCTTCTTTAACGACATTAGATTCCAAAAATGATTTATTATGGGGTAAAATTGCATATTTAAATTCATGTTTACAAATATCACAGTTTGCATCTGGCGCCTAAATAAAAACAACAATAGTAATAATAAATAATCAAATCGAATCGAGAATTTTAAAAAATACACAACAAACCTTTGGTGATCTTAATAATGATAACCTCATGACATTATCATGAGTAGAGTAACCTATCATTATATAAAGGTATAAATATGTTATGTATATGTATTATATCAATAATATATCAATAATAATATATTTATTAATAATCTTCATTACCATATTTACAATCGTTCATCAAAGCAACGCCATATCCATATTCAGACAAGTCTGCAAATTTATGTCCACATACTTCAAATTTAGCGTAATCCCATGATGTGTTATAATGTGTAGGTCGTTGAATAAATCCAAATTGTGTTTCATATGTAGCCTGATTATAACAATAGTAGTAGCAGCAGTAATAACAATGACAACAACAATATTATTATTACTATTATTAATTAATTAAAACTTAAATAACTTACATAGTCACTATTTATATCGAACGAAAATTCCACTTTCTATAAATCAAAAAAATTTTCCAGATTAATAATGAATTAATCGATTATATTAGTATACATATTTACATACCAAGAATTGCCGATTTTCATTCCAATCAACTTTTGTTTCAAAATCTAACCTTCGAGAGACTGCGCTTAATGAGATTACTTGTTCTAAACTACTTGTTCTTGTTAAATTTGTTTTCAATAAAAGTGATGCATAGAATGGTCCTTCTTCATGAATCTATTGAACGAAGTACTTTATATTATTGATCTATTTATAACGTATTAATATCCTATTTATATTTAAATCTTCTAAAATTATTTACCTGAACAACCCCGAGTCCTGCTTCATGACTTTTTTGTAAATGATAGATTTCAACTATAAATATATATATATATATATATATTATTAAATCTATATAATGCATATATCACAAATATAATTATATAAAATTAAATATAACTTACCATCCCATGCTAAATTTCAAAATAATTTTTTAAAAAAAAATATCATAAATAAAATAAAATAAAATTAAATAATAAAATGAATTTATTCTAAACTTTTTACCATCCCAAAATATTGGCTTTAAAAATAAATTTTTTTGATTAGTAAATATTTCAATAAGTAAAAGTCTTCATTTAATAATTTTATACGATTTAAAATAACTTACAATATCTTCAAATATTCTAAATACATTTCCAAGTTTGCCTTCAGGAATAATTTCTCGACTTAAATAAATAGATAATCAATTAATCAATTAAATATTTACTATTACTATTATTATTATTAATCACCAAGATTCCATACTCGAATTCTCTGTCAACTAAACTAGTTATACGTCCATGTTTGTCAATCTTCACACTTAAAAATTCATTTTCCAAACAATAGAATTCATCATTAACTTCAAATACTAAAATATTTATAATATAAATTGTTATTAATTAAGTTAAAATTTATTATCATATTTATAATTTATATATTATCATATGAATACCTTTTACAGGATTTATCTTTATTTCTTCACTAGGATCAATGGCCTGTGAACTTATTTCATTAACTTTAACTACAAAAAAATATATATTTAATTATTTAAAATTATATTAATTAATTAATTAATTAATTAAGATTCAAATCTCACAAACCTAAAACATATCCTGATTCTTTATCTTTAGAATGTTGTTGTAAGGCACCTAATAATCCATTACATGCTGGAATCTTTACTATCTCTGCTCTTGGCCATGATAATGTATTAAAAACCAATAGACCCTTCTCAGTACTGTCTGTGACTGAAGATACTTTCAAAACATCATCGACTACTTCCTTCAAGAGTTCATTCCCTTTAAAAAAAATTATTTATTTATTTTAACAAAATATTAACAAGCTTTTGGGCAATTTGAAATTATAAGTATATATAGATTAGTATATATAGATTCTTCATACCAACTTTCTCGACTTCTTCATAAAACTAGATTAAAAAATTATAATTTTTTTTTAAATTAAGAAAATTACTTGAGATAAGTTCATAATCACCATAATAAAAAAATACCTTATATGCATCATCATAGACCATTTCAATTGAAGATCCAGGCAAAACATCATGAAATTGATTTCTATAAATTTTTTAACAATAATATTTAAAACCAAAACAAAAGCCAATCAGATCAAAGAAATTTTTTTTATAAACTTACAATAATACAATTTTCCATAATTTATCTAATGCCTTTTTAGGGTATCTTATTTACAATATACAATATAACAATTTAGAAAATATAGAATATTAATATTGATATTAATTAATTATTAAAATTTTAACATTAAAAAAATTCTCACTTGTTATCTTTTGGTTCAGTATAATAAGATATGGTGGAGAGCAATTCAACATCTCGCAATAATAATTCACATTTACGATTGTATTTTTTTGCATATCCATGAGATGTATAGGTACCTCTATGGAGTTCGAAATACTTATCATAATTCGTTTGTTAATATTTATTATTAATTCAATATATATGTTTACATATATAAAAAGACAATAGACTATTAAATATATACCAATTCTCCTTTCCAAGACATCAATTCCTTTGAATTTTTTTCAAGTCTTTCATAAAATTCGTCTGCAGATCCCATCTCTACTTTTGGAAGCCCATCCTAGATGATGATGAAAATCGTTAATAAAGGTCTTAATAATTTCTTTAAGCCAAAAAAAAAAATCAGTTATAAATAAAACTTACAATATCTTTTAAACGATTTAATCGTTCAATCATACTAGATAATGGTCCGCCGCCACCATCACCATTACCAAAAACAAGTAAACTTTCATTACTATACTCTTTATCATTATGATTATTAACACTTTTGACAAGTTCTCCAACTGTACATTGTGCAACGTATCTAAAAAATAATCAATTTATTTATTTATTTATTTATTTATTCGATATATACAAGTAATCTTAAAGCTTACGTCTCGCTAGGACACATGTGTGTCAAAACCTAAATAATAAAAAATTTGATGATGATAACAGCAAAGACAAAAAAATATTTATTCCGAATAAATAATTGATTTATTAATGGATTACCTTACTACCATCAAGCCCAATCCAATGAAATGTGGTATTTGGAAACTATATTATAAAAAAAATTTGTATTAATAATAATAATTACGACAACAAAGTCAAATAATATTTATAGAGCAATGGTGATGGTTTCTCAAAGGCACCTTATTAATATTATTCCATGACAATTTTTGTGTAAAGAAATATTTCATTCCGGAACTTTGAATTATTTGTGGTAATTGTGCTGAATAACCAAAGGTATCCGGAAGCCAAAATACCTTACATTTTTTACCAAAAGTTTTTTCAAAGAATCGTTGACTAAAAAAATTTAATAAAATCAATAAAACTATTATCATTGTATAAAAAAAAAATAAACGAATAATAAATTTATTCATTTACCCATATAAAAATTGTCTACAAAATGATTCGCCACTTGGAATATTACAATCCATTTCAACCCAAGTCTAGATAGAAAAAAAATCAAGGATTTAAAAAATAAAAATAATAATAATTGGTGAGTAATAATAATAATAGTATTAAATAATAAATACCCCTCCGATTGGTAGGAATTGTCCATTTGCGGCCTTTTCTTTAACTCTTTCAAATAGGTTAGGATAATAATCTTTAAGCCATTCATATTGTTGTGCTTGAGAGCAAACAAATTTATAATCAGGGTATTGATCCATCAATCCAATTTGTGTAGACCAACTTCTAGCCACTTTACGTTTTGTCTCATCAAATGGCCTAACACATAACGTATATTTAATCATTTAATAAATTATTATGGATTCTTCTTTAAGTATTTTTTTAATTAATTAGAAAAATGAAAAATAATAATTATTAAAATTTTATAACCAACCAAAGCCAAGCAGTATCTATGTGACAATGACCTACAGCAATTAAATTATGTTGGGAACTACCATTTTTATTCTCGAAAAATTTCTTTGCTATTTTTCTACATTCTTTAATTGATTCATCATTTCCAAGTTGAAATTTGTTGATTATGCTGTTTGCTGTAGTTAAAGCTTGTGCGGATCTCACAGAATTTGCAGGAAGATCTTTAACTACGCCCCTGATTATTTGAAAATCATAAAAGAGATTCCATGCCTCCTCATTTCGAACCACTAATTCCAATGTCTCTAGTTTGAAATATCTATTAGGATTTGGCGGATTTATACCACCATTATCAGCATTGCCAAACATTCCTAAATATTATAAATTAGAATAAAATAATGATGATGATGATGATGATGATGATGATGATGATGATGACGATGATGAGATGTGATGATGATGATTTAAATCAATATTATTATACATTCATACCATTACATGCCATTTCAATATAAAATTCAAATTTGTCACCACCTTTGGAATTTTTTGTAAGAATATATTCTACCCTTCGATCATCACCTCCTAATTAATATATATATTATATATTATAAATTTTTATAAGAAAAATGACACAAAAACAAAAATTTATATACCTCCGCCAGTAAGCCCTTGTAGAGGAAGTCCATCAATAGTCCATACCATTCCTTCATTATTTGCATTCCATAATAATTGAACTTCTTCATTAACCCAATTATTCGGAATTTGAACATTAACACGAAACCAATGAGTTGACTAAATAATTATTTCATTTTTTGTTTATTTAGAAAATATCTTTTCGGAATGAAGAAAAAATATTTCTAATAAAATATTTACCCAACTTGGACCAAAACTTTCGCCAAGTTTTGATGGCTTATAATGGGCGTTTTTTGCTTCTTCAAAAGTGACACGTTTAAGGTCTGGGACAGAAAAAACGGCAAGCTCAATGCAACCTTCGCAGGTTGTGGGATTTACTCGGTTTTTATATAGTTGAGAATATAGGTTCACGTCTGAAAAATAATCAGGTGAAGTAAACTTATCCAATCGATCAACGGTGATTCCACGGATTATCCTTGGATATGAAGTAGCCATCATTAAAAATTTAAAGAAAAATAATATTTAATGATTAACGAATCGGGTAATGATCATATCCACAATGTTATATATATTTAGCACTTGACGATCTTCAAAAATCATGTGACTGTAAATTTTTATTGCATTTTTGAGGAGAATTTTGGCTCGCTGATGTTCTAGGTAATTGCGAAATATCAGTTAAAGACTTTAAGAAAGGAGAATTGGGAAAATTTGTCGATTGGAGAGATTGAGAATTAATTAATTTCTTTATAAAAGAATTATCAGAGCGTAATTTGACCTTTTTGGATTGGAAATACATTTTTTACACCATTCTTTATCTAAAAAAAGTACTTTTGTTATTATTATGTTTGTTGAGATTCGACAGTGAATTGGATTTAATAGTGAGTGAATTGGATTTTGTAACCCCTAGATTTATATATATAAAATATAGATGGCATTACGGATTACGGAATGGTGACATGTTTATGTACTGTTAATATTAATATTAATAGTGTAAAGGTAATAATTATTAGTTTTTATTCTTTTTATCTGTTATTAGTTTTTATTTTAATTTTTGATATATATATATATATAAATTATAGTGGAAAAAATCAAGGCGTGAGAATGATTCTATTAAATAAATCATCAATAAAGCTAAGGATAAAAGATCTTTATGACATTCTTTGCATATTTATCAATTGTTTTGTTGGGATGGTGGTATTTTTCAAATTTAAGTAACTAATTATGATGCAAGTCACTTAGTCCCACAACTTTTTATTGGTTGTGTAGATTTTCAAATTCTCCAAAAATGGAAATGCAACACCCCAAAATAAATCGTGTATTTGAAGCCAAGACCTTCCTCTACAAAATCACGATTTCATCTCATTGATATGTCATGTTGTTGTGGAGAATTTGAGCTTTTAAGTTGCACAAGTTTAGCGAATTTACCATGTTTAGCCCTAAAATGACGTGTTATTACACACAAGAAAGTTAATATCAAAAATCCCTTATATTGCAGATCTTTTGTCATGTGAACTTTCCAGATGAACGGGAAGAGAATTATCTTTATTATTAAAAAAAAAAAAAAATACAAAGAACAGCTAAGTTCATTATTTTAAATTTAATAAATAGACTATTGCATTGATCAAAGAAATATACAATTTGCAAAATATTCTAACGAACATTTATCAATTATTTAATAGTTTGTGTAGGAGTAATTGAAGTAAGCTTTAAGGACAAGGTCTATGAACAAAATATACTAACGAAGGTTTTATCAATCATTCGATAGTTTATATAAATTTCTCTTTTATTTTAACTAATATTTAATAACGTCACTATAATCATTATTGTTGTTGTTTATTGTCTAATCATCATTTACATATGTATATTGGAAGAAAATTTTTTGTGATTATAATTGCCACCACTAATTACTTAATATGGGATATAGAGACTCTTATCTGGCTACTTGCAATAAAAAATGAATTACGTACAGCAAACCATATCAACATAAGCTTTTAACCAAGTACAAGATATTTTTTTAAAAAAAAATAACCAACAAAAATTGCTACACATTCTTGCTTTATGTGCATGAACAGATATTGGTAAATTGCTAATTCATTGTGCTAGGATGAAAATTCGCAGCCAAAATCGCTGTATGAGCAGTTGTAGTAGTAAGAATGTTGAAAAGAGAGCCATATAAATATGATTTCCAGTGTGATTCAAATACCAAAAAGATCTGTTTATTTAATAATAACGAACTTATCAATTAAATTATTATTTACCATGTGTTCTGATACTGTACATAAAAAAATATTTTGGCGGAATTATTATTATAATTATTATTGTTTAAGAGGTATGGTGCATACACAACATTTTTATTTATTATCAATAATTTTAAATTATTAATAGTGTAAATTAGTGTTATTTAAGAGGTATTACACAAACTATTCATCATTTTCTTTAAAATTAATTTTTTAATGATTAAAGAATTGTTACACGACCATAAAATTGTTATTGTTATTATAGTGTGTATTTAAGAGGTACAACCTTGTGTTGGTTACAAAAAAAATTTTTTTTTTTATATAAAAAGATCAATGATTGAAGAATTGTTACGCGACCATAAATTATTGTTACAGATGATAAAAAATAAAGGGAATTTTCAAATTTGGGTATAAAATTTTCAATCCTTCCATTTCCCGATCATCCGATAACACTTGAAACTTCTGGCCTATGAAAAAACAACAAATATATAATGCTGCATTAAATAATAATAAAAAACAGGCAAAGAGGATTTATATTTCAAAAAATAATCTAATTAATATTTTACCAAGGTTCTTTAGGACCGAGAAAACTTCTAATATTAATATAGTATCATATATATAACCTCTAATGAAGGCAAATGTACAGGATTACTTTATAAAAAATTAGATTAAAGCGTTAACACATAATCTCATTTTAAATTTTTATATATACCATATAACGAACGCGTTATTATTAAAATTTAATGATCCCTGCTAATAATTTATGACCCGGTGTCCAATTATTTGAGCAAATCTTTACTAATTTGGGAAAGCAATTCTAATATTAGTTCTGCTTTTTAATATTCGTTTTTAAACGAAGATCGTGTACCATTAAATTCCAATTCAAACAGTGTTGGAAGATGCTCAAGAGAATAATGCAGGTATGCTCTGTACTGAGCAATTGAGGTGACAGGTGAAGTCGGAAGTGCTGTTGAAATGTTTCAGATACAGTTAGACTTAATCAAGATAAATGTATTATATCTTATATCAATTTAACTGACCTCTTATTATTATTTTCGCTATACGTTTCTCTTTATTTCAATTTTCTTCCTTCTTCTTGTGAAGCCCGCCAATGAGCACCACTCCTTTGTATTACATTTAATGGATTGATTTCTATCCACACCATACGAAGCAACAATAAGATTTTCTTTCTGGATCTGGCCCAACACACTTATGACCAGATCGAATGCCTAATGATTGGTAATTCATATCTTGATCAAAATCATAGTCAGTCACACCATCTCACTGGATGGTTAATTTTGTCATAAGGATAGAAATACTCACAGCATCTGTCATGATGCTAAGACCAAACTTGTATAATCATTAGGTTGTGTGATCACCTTTGAAGAAAAGAAAGGATTTATCTTGGGTTTTACAAGCAAAAAAAATATTGTAGATCAATAGATATTCATTTTAATCAATATTAAATTCTAGTCTCCACCAGTTTGAGGCATTCTGTCATTGGAGCATATCTGCTTTTGTAGGGATGGGATGTTAAATAATCGTGTAGTTTGCCTTTTTTTTTGTCAATCAATATTTATATGAAATTTGTCACCGAAAATACAATTAACATCAATGCTAATTTTTGGCCTGCCGTATTTTTATTATTATTTTATTATTAATAGTATTTATTAATGGTGACCTGCCGTATTTTTATTAATATTAATATTAATATATAAAGAAATAATTCAAAAAAAAAATCATGTTTTTTATTGTAAGTTTTTTTATCATTTGTTTTGATTCAGAGGAAATTATCTTGCATCCATATCTTTTTTTACAAAAAGAAAAAAACCATTTTTTTTAAATGGTAAAAACGTTATTTGTTATTGAAAAAATCTGGTGATTTTTATTAATAAAGTTCATATATATATAAAAATTACTAAAGAATGGTGTAACATATCAAAAATGTACCTTAAAACAAAAAAAAACCCCCAAAAATCAGCCTGAAATTGTGTAACATTGTAGAAATCGGTGGACATGGCATTTTTTTGATCGTCAAATCTGTCTCCGAGGCGCAGTAAGTTGCGGGATTAGGTGTCTTGCACTATACACCTAAACTAAGAAATTGAGACAAGTAAATTTCGTGTAACAAAATTTTTTTGATAAAATATTTTCTACAACGTACATTTGATTTATTTGATTTATTTATTTCCTTTTTTTATTAAAAGAAAATCATTATCAAATTCGGTCGTGAGAGTAACACGAAAATTATTGTGAGAATAACCTTCAAATTTAAAAAACTATGGAAAGAAAATTTGAGACAAATTTTTTTTTAGATTAATAGACCCCCTTTTTAAAGCTGAATTGAATGGTGGTGGGTTTTTTAAAATCCAATGTGTGGATCATATAATATTTCAAAATTTTTAACTTTTGAGTATAGGTGATTCGCACTGTAACAAAGGTGTAACACACTAACTCATATACAAACACTTGTATTAGAAGAAGATATAAAATTTTACATATTAAATTTATCTATTATTGTTTCATAAAAAAATGAAGGAATTCAAACAACTTATTGATTCAGTCCCCATTATGTTGAAATTTCAAGATCAAAAAAGTTATGACCATGCTATCTTGCCTGTGGTAACAGATGAGCTGTCGGTGACATTACAACTGAAACTTTTTGATCATAGTCCTAACTGGACTACTATTTTTCACAAAGGTATGCTTTTTGCATCATCAGCAAAATTATTGATTAAAATTGTTTTTTTTTACAATTTTGTCTAACTGGTGCTTTCTTGGCTTCAAATAAAATACACATACAATTAGGTACTGAGGATTTAGTTCGCACACCTGGGCTTTGGGCAAACCAAGCAGGAAATCTGCATGTTCGCTTCTCAGGCTATTTGAATAATAATGATGGAATTAATGAGCTTGCTTGCACACTTTCATTGAACAAATGGTACCATATATCTTATACACTTTCAGATTCTGAAAAAAAATTACTCCTCTATATAAATGGTGAGCTTGCTGGGTCCTATAACATCCAGCAAAAGGTTAGCTTCAATAATGGACCACTGTATGTTGGACGTAGTTTCATCCATGGTGGGTTTAATGGAGAAGTGAGGTATGATTTATCATAGTAATGGTAATGAAGCTAATCTAAATCACAAAAATATTAAATGATCATTTTATCAAATAGCAATTTTCGTTATTTCAACTGGAGCTTATCTGCTGAAGAAGTGAAAAAATGGTCAGAGGATAAAAATAAAGAATTCAAACAACTTATTGATTCAATTCCTATTACATTGAAAATTCAAGATCAACGAGTCTTTAACCATGTTGACTTGCCTGTGGTAACAGATCAGCTGTCAGTGACATTACAACTGAAACTTTTTGATCATAGTCCTAACTGGGCTACTATTTTTCACAAAGGTATGCTTTTTGCATCATCAGCAAAATTATTGATTAAAATTGTTTTTTTTTACAATTTTGTCTAACTGGTGCTTTCTTGGCTTCAAATAAAATACACATACAATTAGGTACTGAGGATTTAGTTCGCACA